GGCCTTCCTGCTGCCATCTGAAAATTGTTATATTGTACATTCTCACTCTGACATTCTGTTCTCCCACCAGGGCCCCCCCTCTGCCTCCATAAAGAAAGTGGTCTTTCCCTAGCCTGGTCCATGCCGCTATGGGGACAGAAGGCAGGGGCTGGCATGGGATGGGGTGGGGCTTCGGGGGGGAGCTGAAGGGCCCTGCTCACTGCCCACCATCCTTCAGGTCACCATCCTAGAGGCAAACAGTAGGATCGGGGGCCGCATCTTCACCTACCGGTACCAGAAGACAGGCTGGATTGGGGAGCTGGGAGCCATGCGCATGCCCAGTTCACATAGGTGAGGCCTGACCTGGCCTCCCCCAAACCCCTCAATGCCAGCCCAGACAACCAGACCCCCCCAACTCTATCTGTGCTCACTGCCAGCCCAAACTTCCATTCTGCCCTTCAATCAAGTCAGCTGTAGACCCAACCTCCAGCTCCATCCTTTTCCTAATCCCAACCTCAGAATCTCCTGGCCCCAGCCCATTGCTGTACCCCTGGGATGCTCAGGCCACCAAGTCCTGCAGAACCCCCAGCCAGCCGGCCCAGCCCCTCTAGACCTTCAACCGTACCTCCCCTGACTCTGTCCCGCCCCATCCAACCCGAACTCTGCCCCATTTCCACTTCATCCCTCTCAAACCGAATCCTAATCTGGTACAGCCCTCAGACTGCCCGCGTTAGTCCCTCGTCATTCCCATCCCCAGCGCGGAGGAGCCCGCATCTAGCCCCCTGCAGCCTCACGCCCGTCCGCAAGCCCCATCCCCAGCTGCCCTAACCACCTTCTTCCCTTCTCTGAGCCCCACTGGGGAGAGGGACCCTCACCAGCCTCTCCTGCTCCCACAGGATCCTCCATGAGCTCTGCAAGAACCTGGGACTCAACCTGACCAAGTTCACCCAACACGATGAGAACACGTGGACAAAAGTAAATAATGTGAAGCTGCGGAACTACGTGGTGGAGAAGATGCCCGAGAAGCTGGGCTACAAACTGAACTCCAGGGAGAAGGGCCACCCGCCTGAGGAAATCTACCAGATGGCTCTCAACAAGGTAGGCCCCTGTGCCAGCCAGCTCTGCACCCTCTGCGCTGCCCGGTACCACGCCCCGTGGGCCTCTCTCTGGGCCGCCACCCAGCCTCCTCCCTGGCCTGGCTTTCCTTCTCTCTCCTTTCTGGTCTCCCGCCTGGCTTTTCCATCTTCAGTTTTCCTATAAACAATCCAATCCCCAAAGCGCCATCAGCCTTCGGCCTCAGATCCCCTTCTTAACCACACGCTGTTCTGGACGGCCACACCTTTCTATGCCTTGGGCTTCAACTTTGATCTGCAGGTTGATGTCTTCCAAACCCATCTGGTGAGACCCAGACCTATGGCCAGCCCCACCCTGGCCACACCTGAGCTCCTACCCAGCTCGGCACCTTCCCTAAGTACACTCATACGCTCAGGTTCCCCATCCCGCAATGCTTGTCACTCCCTGGTCACAAGGCACACCCCCAGGTGCCACCCTGTCTCCCCCAGCCGCATCCTCCCTGCCCCCTTTCTTGCACTTCCCACCTCGCTGTGCCCAAACCCCACCCCAGCTCAGGCCTGTCCTCTCCCCTGGACCTCCGCCAGCTCTGCCCCAGCAACTCGGCCTCAGGTTCCAGCCATGAGTGCTCCAGCCTCTCCGACCCCCTTGCCTCTCTCTTCTCCTCCAAGAAATTCTTACCCCCCAAAGTCTGTGGTGCCCCAAACACCCCCAGCTCTGTACGTGTACCCACTATGCTCATTCACCGTCCCGCACCCATGCCCTTGCTCTTACCACCTGCCCTGCCTGGAAGGCCTTTTCCCTTCCCCGCCCAGGGAACCCTACTCATCCCTCAAGAGCCAGCATCAATGTCCCTTTCTCCAGGAAGCCTTCCCTGATGCCTTCAGGGAGGACACAGCTTCGTCCTCCTCTGAGAGCTCCCGATTGGCCATCTCCCCTCCTGGACACGGGTGGGCACATGTCCAGGCCATTTCTGTGCTCGGGGCACTTCTCAGTTCAGGGAACCTAGGGAAATGTGGGGTGAATGGAGAGTGAATGAGTGAGTGGAGGGGAACATTCTTCTGGGTGTTCCGGGGCCACAGGGGAGATGCCAGGTGGACAAAGAAGAGGGTTGAAATATGGCAGCGAGCCTCCTGGGAGGGGATGAGACTTGCCCAGGTGGTGAAGGATGGCAAAAGATGAGGCCGGCAGGGTAAGTGCAGTGGCATGGAGGTGGGAGAGGCCTGAGGGTGGTCTGGGCACTGGACATTGTGCTCCGAGCCAGAGCTGCCATGAGATGGTGACTGAGGGCCTGGCAGGGCCCTCAACTGCCAGGCCGAGGGCTGGAACTCTGGCTCCAGGGGCAGGGGAGGCACAGGACAGCTGCAGGCAGGAGAGGGTCCTGATAAGAACCCCCTCAGGGCTGATCGGGGTCGGGGGTGGAGCTGGGCTCAGAAGGGACTCTGCTTGTCTGCAACGATCAGGTGACAATTTCTGAGCTCCAGAAGGACAGACACAGCACTGACTGAGACAGGATGCCTGCCTCCTCAGAGCTCACAGGCTAGGACAGATGAAGGTAGAATAACATCCAACTGGAATGAGTGTGGCCTTGTCCGGTCGGCTTGAACACACAGGTCGCAGGGCATTAATGGCTGGGGAGGGCAGACTAAAGTGATGCTGAGTTGCAGTGGAGGGCAAGGCTGGGGGCACAGTAGGGGCAAATAAATGCCTGGCGGCTTGAACAAGAGTGGAAAATGGCTGGAGCCGGAAGACAACTCAGGTTTGGACTCCAGGCCTGGCTTCCGCAGCCCTGCCCCCAGCTTGTTCCACCGTAGGCCGTCAAGGATCTCAAGACAATGGGCTGCAAAAAGGCAATGAAGAAGTTTGAAAGGCACATGTTCCTGGTGAGTGGGGACTTTGGTGGTGCTGAGAACCGAGGGCAAGGAGGCGCTTTGCTCTTAGGGGCGGAGGCAGGAACCCAGGAGCTGAGGCCTGCCGCTGCCTCCCTAGCCAAGCTCAAAGCTAGACACACCCCATCTCTGGGCCTCAGTTTCCCTCTTCCGTCATGAGAAGGGGCATCGGGTCGCTAAGGTCCAGGGGACTGTATTAAGCTCCCGGTGGTGTCACAGAAGCCAAAAGCTCAGTGAGGAGGGGCATGGAGTGGGCATGGAGCCGGCAGGGGGCAGCCTGCCTTGGCGCTGACCTGCTCCGCGCCTGCCCTCCAGGACTACCTCCTCGGGGAGGGGAACCTGAGCCAGCCGGCCACGCAGCTCCTGGGAGACGTGATGGCCAAGGCCGGCTTCTTCTATCTCAGTTTCGCAGAAGCCCTGCGGGCCCACAGCTGCCTCAGCGACCGGCTCCGGTAGGGGCGGGGGCGGCAGGCAGGGAGGGGCTGGCGGGCAGGGCGCGGCCCACCGAGACCGGAAAGGGGGCGGAGGGGACGGAGGGGAAGGCGCGCGATGGGGTCTGGCCACCCTGGCCGCTGCGTCCGGGCAGAGCTCTGCAGGAACTGAAGAGTTCCAGAAGGGCGCGGCCCGGCGGAGAAGAGGCGGGGTTCCTGGGTCACTCAGGTGTCTGCCCCTGTCCCGGGGACAACAGGCACAGGCCGGGGCGGGGCAGAGGGGTGGGCGGGGTGAGCGGGGTGGGGCAGGTGCCCAGGAGGCCCAGTAACGTGAGCCGGGGCTGATTAGAGGGAACCGGGCTGGTGACGCCGGGAGCAGCTATCTGGGCATCTCGGGGAAGCGCCCGCGGGGAGGGCAGGCCCCCAGCGCCCAGGTCACGCGCCCGCCCCGCCCCGCCGCGCCCGCAGGTACAGCCGCATCGTGGGCGGCTGGGACCTGCTGCCGCGCGCGCTGCTGAGCTCTGTCCCGGGGCCGGTGGTGCTGCGCGCGCCCGTCACGGCGGTGACGCAGAATAGGCAGGAGGTGCACGTGCACATCGCGACCTCGCACCAGGCCCGGAATCTGAAGGCCATGACGGCGGACAAGGTGCTGCTGACGGTGAGCGGGCCGGCGCTGCAGCGCATGATCTTCTCGCCGCCGCTGCCGCGCAAGCAGCAGCAGGCGCTGCGCGCGCTGCACTACGTGCCGGCCACCAAAGTGTACCTGAGCTTCCACCGGCCCTTCTGGCACGACGAGCACATCGAGGGCGGCCACTCAAACACTGACCGCCCGTCGCGCGTGATATTCTACCCGGCGCCGGGCGAGGGGGCGCTGCTGCTGGCCTCGTACACGTGGTCGGACGCGGCGGCCACGTTCGCGGGCCTGAGCCTGGAAGAAGCGCTGCGCTTGGCACTCGACGACGTGGCGGCACTGCACGGGCCGATTGTGTACCGGCTCTGGGACGGCCGCGGCATCGTCAAGCGCTGGGCCGACGACCCGTACAGCCAGGGGGGCTTTGTAGTGCAGCCGCCCACGCTCTGGAAAGCCGACAAGGACGAAGAGCAGGAGTGTGACTGGACCGTCCCTCACGGCCACGCCTACTTCGCCGGCGAGCACACGGCGCACCCGCACGGCTGGGTGGAAACGGCCGTCAAGTCGGCGCTGCGTGCCGCGGTGTTGATCAACCGCCAGGAAGGGCACCCAGCGACGGTCCCTACCGGACCACTGCGCGGTGCGACTCCAAGGATGTCACCCTCCAGTCATAGAGTAGGATAACCGATCCGCAGGCGACCCACAAGCGGACCCGGCATTAAAGCATTTTCTTTAAAAGCTGTGCGGCCTTGCCCCTCCCTGGCCCAGCCCTCCCCGTTACCATGGAGCAGTCATTAACCATCAAGGCAGAAGGTTCTGCACCTATCCTGGAACCCCAGAAGCTGTCCTTCCTAGACCGTGGGGCTCCACCTGGGATGATGGATGTGTGTGTGTGTGAACAGGACATACACTGCTTTGCACCACTGATAAATGGCAATCAGTGCCCATCCCCGCTGTCACAACGCAGCTGGGTTCTGACACAAACCAACAGAAGCCGGATGACAGTGGGTTAGAGTTTATTTTCTTCACATAACAAGAGGTTGGTAGGCAGGGTCCCTAGTGTTTGAGCAGCTCTGCAGCCCTCCCATCTCGGTTAAGTTGGGGATGTGTCCACGCAACACTACTAGGTGACAGCCACGCGCCACTCCCCAGCCTCACTCGCCCAACAGCTCAGGAAGCCCTGCCTCCACAATCCCACCACTCACCCAAGGACTTCCTCTTTTGAGTCTCACTGGCCAGGTTAAAGCCACGTGGCCACATCCTAGCTCCGCAGTGGTCAGAGGGGCCCAGGAGCCACCCCCCTCCCCAGGTCCAAGCCGAAGTGGCAGCCTCCTTCCTCCACCTATGTGACGTCAGCTGGGCAGAGCAGCAGTAGTTTTAACGAAACCAGCTAGTTAGAAGGGCGCAGCGGGGCGCTCTGCGCCTCCTCACACTCCAGAGCAAGATAAAGTGCCTGTGCCCAGAGGGCTGCCTGCCCAGCTGGTTAGGAATCAGTGCCGTCCTCCTCCTCCGGCAGGATCTCCAGGCTGCTGTCTGGCTGCGGGGCTGTGTCCACAGGGGATGAAGGGACGGGTGGGGCCCGGGTGGGAGACAATGGGAGTGGAGAGGCAGGGGGCGAGGGGCTACAGGCCTCTGCAGGCGGTGCGAGACCCAAGACCTCCTGCACATTGTGGGGCAGCTCCTGAAGAGTTGCGGGTAGGGAGCAAAAAGTTAAAGAGGTTTGTTCTGGGGAACAGGGCGGGAGGCTGCTGGGAGGGGTTAGGGACTCACCGGGCAGGCGGTCAGCTGCCGGTAGAGGGCCTCCGCCCGCGTCAGCACGTCCTCCACGCTCAGCTTCATGGTCAGCTCGTTAATGTGCTGCAGAGGGGGTGGGTCAGGCCTGCCTGCCTGCAGGCACTCAGCCACCACTGCCCCAGCGCCTACGCTCTGCCTCATGCTGGGGACACAATGGCGGGAGGACAGACCGGGCTGGCCCTCCAGGGGCTCACAGTGGAGCTAGGGCATCAAGGGGAGTCACGCTCTCTGCTTGCCAGAAGCAGGATGCTGTGAAGGGAAAGGGCACAGAGCTCCACACCCACAGCCAGCCCCAAGTAATGCACTGGAGGAGGGCGGGTCCCCCACTCTGGCGTGGGTCACATGCTCTGTTAGGACACTGCTAGGGGCCAAGGACTGGATTGGGTAGGAGAAAAAAACAGATGTGGCCTCAGGGCCACAGTGCTCACAATTTAGCTGACCATACTTTCAACAATCCTATTTTGAGTCCCTACTACTGAAAAGATGGCACAGGCAATGCCAGACTCCAAGGAGTTCACCCCCAGGGAATGTGCCCCCATCCACACAGGGCAGGATGGGCAGGGAGAGGGTGGGGCTTAGACAGGAACCAGGGCTTCACCTTGAGGATTTCATTGGAGCCAAAGCCAGAAAGCATGAGGGTGTCACGCTCCATGTCCAGGATGGCACAGGCCACCAGCAGGTGCAGGCTGGGGCCAGGGAGCCCTGTCCATAGCACCTAGGGGTGCCAGGGGAAGGGATCACGGCCAGCCTCTGCTTGAAGTCCCACCCAGATCCACCCACCCCTTGCCCAGCTCCCAGCCGCTCCCACTGGCAGAAGAGTCCTTTCTCTCAGCCCTCCCACCCCACCTGGCTGCCTACCTCCCACAGCCGAAGGATATCCGGAAAGGGGAATTCCCTCTTGAACCAGATGAGCAGCCACCGGAAGCAGAAGCAGAGAGAGCCAGAGTCCTGGGAGTCTAGGGGAGGTCGGTGCTCAGCAAAGAGCAAGCTCAAAATCAACTGCAACCCTGGTCTAATTCACAGTGTGCCCAGCAGTGAGGCTGAGACTCTAGGAAGTCATCCTGGCTACAAGAACCTCCACCAGTCTAGGCCAGCAACTCATGGCCAGCATGGGAAGGCTTCAGAGGTGAGCCAGGAACGCTCTGTGCCAACAGGAACTTTCCCCACCCTGCCTTCCAGACTCCAGATGAAGTGAACGAGTTCCATGTTTCCCCCTTTGACATGGAAGGGCTGCAGTGCCCTCAAGGAAAAAACCACCTGCTCAGTACTCGGAGCTGGTGGAGGTGGGAGGACCCTGGCACTCATGCAGGCTGCTCGCAAAACTGTACAGTGACTCAACTTTCTAGGAAAGCAGTGATGGGGACAAGTATTTCAAAAGCTGTAAAAATGCTTACTGCCCTGGATACAATTTCACTAGGAATTTAACCTAAAATTATCCAGACGATACACATTATGATGAAAAATGGTAACTGAAATGTCCCGCTGATCAGGCTAAATCCATCCTTCTACACCCTTAAGATGGACAGAAAACCCTGCAGTTAATAAAAGTGACAGTTTAGAAAACTCATGACACAGAGGCAGATAACGTGCCGGTGCCCCTGGCGGTGGCACGCACTCCCTCAGACTTAGTTCCCTTTGCAGTGAAGTGAGGCCAGCTCCATCGCCCTCCCCAGCGTGATCCTAAATGTCAGTGAATCAATGTCCAGAAATAAGTTGACTGTCGTCATCTGCATTCAAAAGAATACTACTATCAACAGTAATGTTTACTTTCTTTTCTTTACCTGAATTTCCTGCATTTTTTACTTGAACAAGCTGGGAAGAAAAACCGTAAAGCCTGAATAGAGCCCAGACAACCAGTTTCCTGGCTTAAGTGAGAGAAGGCAAGAAATGCTAGGAGCCACGGCCAGGTGCTTCTCGGGAATGCATGGGCTTGGCGGGAGCCAGGAAGCCTGCTCCTGGGTGTGCGGATGGCTGCACTTGGCGACGTTTTGGACTGAACTGCAATCCTGCTTTTCCACGTAAGTTTGGGTTCTGAGTTATGCAGGGATGTTTCTCTTAGATCAGGACCAAACATCCTGGACACCATCTGTGGCCACTCCCAGAAACTCTCTGGCAAGGTCTGTGGCCCTGCCGGCCCCTGCCTATCTGCTAAGACACATACCCAGGAAGTCACAGAGCGGCGGGTCCAGCACCCTCAGGAGAAGCAGGAGTTGTCCGAGTTGTCGCTTCATCGTCTCCTGACTCTCCTCAAAGTTCCCGTGCTGCAGGAGGGAGGGTCACGTGAGAGGGTGGACCCCATCTGTTGAGGGGACCTGTCTCCCACCCCTGCCGAGCCTTACCACGCGCTCCATGAAGCCGCAGAAGCACCAGAAGGCATCCACCTCATTCTGAATGACGTAGAGGATCGGGGAGAGGAGATCACTCATACCCTGGACATAGCCTATGGGGACACGGCATCAGGGCTCAGCCCGGGCCCCCGGTACCCACTCCCTCCACAAACCCCGGTTCCCGGGCTGGGCCGCACCAAGGTCGAAGTGGTACATGCAGTAGGTGAGGAGGATGTCATTCAGCAGGCCCAGCCCCGGGTTCTCGGGACCTTCATAGAATTTGTTGGTTCTATCAGTGCGGCTCACGTCTCTCTCTGCAGGGACAGGGCACAGGCGGCAAGGGTGAGAAAGGCTGGGGGCCTGACCCTGCTGGCCACTGGCACCAGCTCCCACTCCTCTGCTGGAAGACCCCAGGCAGGTGTGGGTCAGTCCAGAAACAAGCTCGAACACTTCACGCTCACCCACTCGCCACATCCTCCCAGCATCCGACAGTTACTAAACCACCCACAGATGGGGAAACTGAGGCCCGGGGAGGTAAGTCCCCGGCCAAGATCTCACGGTGAGCAAATGGCAGACTTGAGCGCAGGGAGCCTGGCTCCTCGTCCCCCGCCGCTCCCAGGCCTGCTCACCCCCCCACTGCCCCCTCACTGCTTTCCGTCGGGCCGCCCCACCCCTACCCCACCCACCGATGAGGCTGCGGTAGCCGTGCAGCAGCGAGTTCCTCCGCTCCTGCTCCGGGCTCACGGACTTCCACTGCAGCTTCATGCGGAAATACTCGTCCCTGAGGGGCGGGGGCGGGAGACGGGCGGTGGTGATCCCAGCGCCTCTCACCCTCAGCCCGGCTCACCGCCCGGCGCCCCCTGCTGGCCATGCAGACCAACACCGCCACGCTTGCCCTTGCCAACATCTCTCACCACACCGAACACCCTCGTGGGCTCTGCTGACAGTCTGTCATCCCCACTGGACAAGGGACCGAGTGGGGACAGAGACACAGCAGCACAATATATGCCAGAAATAAGGAGGGGGCCCTGTGGGGTTAGGAAGCCTCTGCAGAGCAGACATGGTGACAGGATGGTACCGCAGTGAACGCAGCCCTGGAGGTGGGAGACACGCGGCTGGGTTGCCACCTCTCTTGTGTGAGGGTTGAGGCCCATCACGTGCCATCTTGTAACTAGTGTCTGGGGAGCAAAGCCATCTGCACCAGGCCATGCCTGGTGCCGGGGAGGCCAGGGAGGCAAGAGGCTGAAGCCAGGCAAGGAACTGTTCCTCACTTACGTTTTCTTACGCACATGGGCTTTGTGCTCCTCGGCTGAGCCCTCCCAGCTCAGATACCCCAGGAGGAACTTCCAAGCCTCGCGCCTCAAGCCGGGGCTCAGACCCTGGGGGGCAGAGAGGGGCAGGAGCTTAGAGGCGCCTCCCCTCGGCCACCCGCCAGCCCTGCCCAGCTCTCCACACCCATCCAGTGCCTCACCCCTGAGAAGATCCGGGCCTTTAGCACGGGGACCTGCTGCAGGCGGCCCTCAGGGCCCACATGCTGGGCCCACTCCTCCTCTGTGACCGGAGGCGCCCGCTCCACGGCTGGCCGCGGCCCCAGCTCCACCTGCAGGACACAGGCAAGTGAGCCCAGAGGTGCCCCCAGGGCTGCCTGCCCTCCAGACCACCTCCACATCAGCTCAGAGCCCTCTGAACTTGATGGACGATTAGCCGTCAGGGAAGAAAGCGTCTCCTGCCCTTGGTCAGCAGCAAACAAAGAGCCCCCCAGTCATCATAAGCCCCAGGTGCAAGCACTTCCCTTGTGCACCCCACTGGGGCTGGTGCCGTTAGAACCTCTGAGGCCCAGGAGGTGCAGCCAGGTGCCTGAGGTGACGGCCAGAAAGCAGTGCGACCGTCCGGATACTCACACAGGAAATGACCTCGAACCCAGGCTCAGGCTCGTCATCAGGGGACCCCGTTACCATGGAGCAGTCATTAACCATCAAGGCAGAAGGTTCTGCACCTATCCTGGAACCCCAGAAGCTGTCCTTCCTAGACCGTGGGGCTCCACCTGGGATGATGGATGTGTGTGTGTGTGAACAGGACATACACTGCTTTGCACCACTGATAAATGGCAATCAGTGCCCATCCCCGCTGTCACAACGCAGCTGGGTTCTGACACAAACCAACAGAAGCCGGATGACAGTGGGTTAGAGTTTATTTTCTTCACATAACAAGAGGTTGGTAGGCAGGGTCCCTAGTGTTTGAGCAGCTCTGCAGCCCTCCCATCTCGGTTAAGTTGGGGATGTGTCCACGCAACACTACTAGGTGACAGCCACGCGCCACTCCCCAGCCTCACTCGCCCAACAGCTCAGGAAGCCCTGCCTCCACAATCCCACCACTCACCCAAGGACTTCCTCTTTTGAGTCTCACTGGCCAGGTTAAAGCCACGTGGCCACATCCTAGCTCCGCAGTGGTCAGAGGGGCCCAGGAGCCACCCCCCTCCCCAGGTCCAAGCCGAAGTGGCAGCCTCCTTCCTCCACCTATGTGACGTCAGCTGGGCAGAGCAGCAGTAGTTTTAACGAAACCAGCTAGTTAGAAGGGCGCAGCGGGGCGCTCTGCGCCTCCTCACACTCCAGAGCAAGATAAAGTGCCTGTGCCCAGAGGGCTGCCTGCCCAGCTGGTTAGGAATCAGTGCCGTCCTCCTCCTCCGGCAGGATCTCCAGGCTGCTGTCTGGCTGCGGGGCTGTGTCCACAGGGGATGAAGGGACGGGTGGGGCCCGGGTGGGAGACAATGGGAGTGGAGAGGCAGGGGGCGAGGGGCTACAGGCCTCTGCAGGCGGTGCGAGACCCAAGACCTCCTGCACATTGTGGGGCAGCTCCTGAAGAGTTGCGGGTAGGGAGCAAAAAGTTAAAGAGGTTTGTTCTGGGGAACAGGGCGGGAGGCTGCTGGGAGGGGTTAGGGACTCACCGGGCAGGCGGTCAGCTGCCGGTAGAGGGCCTCCGCCCGCGTCAGCACGTCCTCCACGCTCAGCTTCATGGTCAGCTCGTTAATGTGCTGCAGAGGGGGTGGGTCAGGCCTGCCTGCCTGCAGGCACTCAGCCACCACTGCCCCAGCGCCTACGCTCTGCCTCATGCTGGGGACACAATGGCGGGAGGACAGACCGGGCTGGCCCTCCAGGGGCTCACAGTGGAGCTAGGGCATCAAGGGGAGTCACGCTCTCTGCTTGCCAGAAGCAGGATGCTGTGAAGGGAAAGGGCACAGAGCTCCACACCCACAGCCAGCCCCAAGTAATGCACTGGAGGAGGGCGGGTCCCCCACTCTGGCGTGGGTCACATGCTCTGTTAGGACACTGCTAGGGGCCAAGGACTGGATTGGGTAGGAGAAAAAAACAGATGTGGCCTCAGGGCCACAGTGCTCACAATTTAGCTGACCATACTTTCAACAATCCTATTTTGAGTCCCTACTACTGAAAAGATGGCACAGGCAATGCCAGACTCCAAGGAGTTCACCCCCAGGGAATGTGCCCCCATCCACACAGGGCAGGATGGGCAGGGAGAGGGTGGGGCTTAGACAGGAACCAGGGCTTCACCTTGAGGATTTCATTGGAGCCAAAGCCAGAAAGCATGAGGGTGTCACGCTCCATGTCCAGGATGGCACAGGCCACCAGCAGGTGCAGGCTGGGGCCAGGGAGCCCTGTCCATAGCACCTAGGGGTGCCAGGGGAAGGGATCACGGCCAGCCTCTGCTTGAAGTCCCACCCAGATCCACCCACCCCTTGCCCAGCTCCCAGCCGCTCCCACTGGCAGAAGAGTCCTTTCTCTCAGCCCTCCCACCCCACCTGGCTGCCTACCTCCCACAGCCGAAGGATATCCGGAAAGGGGAATTCCCTCTTGAACCAGATGAGCAGCCACCGGAAGCAGAAGCAGAGAGAGCCAGAGTCCTGGGAGTCTAGGGGAGGTCGGTGCTCAGCAAAGAGCAAGCTCAAAATCAACTGCAACCCTGGTCTAATTCACAGTGTGCCCAGCAGTGAGGCTGAGACTCTAGGAAGTCATCCTGGCTACAAGAACCTCCACCAGTCTAGGCCAGCAACTCATGGCCAGCATGGGAAGGCTTCAGAGGTGAGCCAGGAACGCTCTGTGCCAACAGGAACTTTCCCCACCCTGCCTTCCAGACTCCAGATGAAGTGAACGAGTTCCATGTTTCCCCCTTTGACATGGAAGGGCTGCAGTGCCCTCAAGGAAAAAACCACCTGCTCAGTACTCGGAGCTGGTGGAGGTGGGAGGACCCTGGCACTCATGCAGGCTGCTCGCAAAACTGTACAGTGACTCAACTTTCTAGGAAAGCAGTGATGGGGACAAGTATTTCAAAAGCTGTAAAAATGCTTACTGCCCTGGATACAATTTCACTAGGAATTTAACCTAAAATTATCCAGACGATACACATTATGATGAAAAATGGTAACTGAAATGTCCCGCTGATCAGGCTAAATCCATCCTTCTACACCCTTAAGATGGACAGAAAACCCTGCAGTTAATAAAAGTGACAGTTTAGAAAACTCATGACACAGAGGCAGATAACGTGCCGGTGCCCCTGGCGGTGGCACGCACTCCCTCAGACTTAGTTCCCTTTGCAGTGAAGTGAGGCCAGCTCCATCGCCCTCCCCAGCGTGATCCTAAATGTCAGTGAATCAATGTCCAGAAATAAGTTGACTGTCGTCATCTGCATTCAAAAGAATACTACTATCAACAGTAATGTTTACTTTCTTTTCTTTACCTGAATTTCCTGCATTTTTTACTTGAACAAGCTGGGAAGAAAAACCGTAAAGCCTGAATAGAGCCCAGACAACCAGTTTCCTGGCTTAAGTGAGAGAAGGCAAGAAATGCTAGGAGCCACGGCCAGGTGCTTCTCGGGAATGCATGGGCTTGGCGGGAGCCAGGAAGCCTGCTCCTGGGTGTGCGGATGGCTGCACTTGGCGACGTTTTGGACTGAACTGCAATCCTGCTTTTCCACGTAAGTTTGGGTTCTGAGTTATGCAGGGATGTTTCTCTTAGATCAGGACCAAACATCCTGGACACCATCTGTGGCCACTCCCAGAAACTCTCTGGCAAGGTCTGTGGCCCTGCCGGCCCCTGCCTATCTGCTAAGACACATACCCAGGAAGTCACAGAGCGGCGGGTCCAGCACCCTCAGGAGAAGCAGGAGTTGTCCGAGTTGTCGCTTCATCGTCTCCTGACTCTCCTCAAAGTTCCCGTGCTGCAGGAGGGAGGGTCACGTGAGAGGGTGGACCCCATCTGTTGAGGGGACCTGTCTCCCACCCCTGCCGAGCCTTACCACGCGCTCCATGAAGCCGCAGAAGCACCAGAAGGCATCCACCTCATTCTGAATGACGTAGAGGATCGGGGAGAGGAGATCACTCATACCCTGGACATAGCCTATGGGGACACGGCATCAGGGCTCAGCCCGGGCCCCCGGTACCCACTCCCTCCACAAACCCCGGTTCCCGGGCTGGGCCGCACCAAGGTCGAAGTGGTACATGCAGTAGGTGAGGAGGATGTCATTCAGCAGGCCCAGCCCCGGGTTCTCGGGACCTTCATAGAATTTGTTGGTTCTATCAGTGCGGCTCACGTCTCTCTCTGCAGGGACAGGGCACAGGCGGCAAGGGTGAGAAAGGCTGGGGGCCTGACCCTGCTGGCCACTGGCACCAGCTCCCACTCCTCTGCTGGAAGACCCCAGGCAGGTGTGGGTCAGTCCAGAAACAAGCTCGAACACTTCACACTCACCCACTCACCACATCCTCCCAGCATCCGACAGTTACTAAACCACCCACAGATGGGGAAACTGAGGCCTGGGGAGGTAAGTCCCCGGCCAAGATCTCACGGTGAGCAAATGGCAGACTTGAGCGCAGGGAGCCTGGCTCCTCGTCCCCCGCCGCTCCCAGGCCTGCTCACCCCCCCACTGCCCCCTCACTGCTTTCCGTCGGGCCGCCCCACCCCTACCCCACCCACCGATGAGGCTGCGGTAGCCGTGCAGCAGCGAGTTCCTCCGCTCCTGCTCCGGGCTCACGGACTTCCACTGCAGCTTCATGCGGAAATACTCGTCCCTGAGGGGCGGGGGCGGGAGACGGGCGGTGGTGATCCCAGCGCCTCTCACCCTCAGCCCGGCTCACCGCCCGGCGCCCCCTGCTGGCCATGCAGACCAACACCGCCACGCTTGCCCTTGCCAACATCTCTCACCACACCGAACACCCTCGTGGGCTCTGCTGACAGTCTGTCATCCCCACTGGACAAGGGACCGAGTGGGGACAGAGACACAGCAGCACAATATATGCCAGAAATAAGGAGGGGGCCCTGTGGGGTTAGGAAGCCTCTGCAGAGCAGACATGGTGACAGGATGGTACCGCAGTGAACGCAGCCCTGGAGGTGGGAGACACGCGGCTGGGTTGCCACCTCTCTTGTGTGAGGGTTGAGGCCCATCACGTGCCATCTTGTAACTAGTGTCTGGGGAGCAAAGCCATCTGCACCAGGCCATGCCTGGTGCCGGGGAGGCCAGGGAGGCAAGAGGCTGAAGCCAGGCAAGGAACTGTTCCTCACTTACGTTTTCTTACGCACATGGGCTTTGTGCTCCTCGGCTGAGCCCTCCCAGCTCAGATACCCCAGGAGGAACTTCCAAGCCTCGCGCCTCAAGCCGGGGCTCAGACCCTGGGGGGCAGAGAGGGGCAGGAGCTTAGAGGCGCCTCCCCTCGGCCACCCGCCAGCCCTGCCCAGCTCTCCACACCCATCCAGTGCCTCACCCCTGAGAAGATCCGGGCCTTTAGCACGGGGACCTGCTGCAGGCGGCCCTCAGGGCCCACATGCTGGGCCCACTCCTCCTCTGTGACCGGAGGCGCCCGCTCCACGGCTGGCCGCGGCCCCAGCTCCACCTGCAGGACACAGGCAAGTGAGCCCAGAGGTGCCCCCAGGGCTGCCTGCCCTCCAGACCACCTCCACATCAGCTCAGAGCCCTCTGAACTTGATGGACGATTAGCCGTCAGGGAAGAAAGCGTCTCCTGCCCTTGGTCAGCAGCAAACAAAGAGCCCCCCAGTCATCATAAGCCCCAGGTGCAAGCACTTCCCTTGTGCACCCCACTGGGGCTGGTGCCGTTAGAACCTCTGAGGCCCAGGAGGTGCAGCCAGGTGCCTGAGGTGACGGCCAGAAAGCAGTGCGACCGTCCGGATACTCACACAGGAAATGACCTCGAACCCAGGCTCAGGCTCGTCATCAGGGGGCAGAGGCAGGTCAGGGGAGGCCCCCTCCGGGTGTGGCTGCAGGGCTCCCCGGAAGAAGTTGGTCACTCGCGAGAAGCTGCTGAAGGTGGTGGAGTAGGGGTCCTGGAGGAAGCGCTGCAGGCAGGGCCGAAGACCGGTCACGGGTCGCCCTCTCCTGCCTCGCCCACTGCCCCACCCGTCCCTGCCCACGGGCTCCAGGCCTGGCCCTGGGGACACTCACAGACACCACGTTGGAGCTGTCCTGGTCGAAGAGCTGGAGGTGGTGGAAGGAGTTGGAGAGGGCCGAGGAGTCGTGCGGGAAGACAAGGTAGAGGCGGGAGTCCTGTGGGGAGCTGGGCGGAGGCGCTCGGTGACACACACATAGGGCCCGGCCCACATCTGCGTCCTCCCCTTCCAGTCACAGCAACCTGACTGTCCTTGGGAATCCCCCGCCTCAGGCTGAGACCATCCAGGGTCGGGCCGAGAGGCAGCCCTCCATGCTGCCGGCGTGAAGGGCAGAGGGACCTTCTGCCCGCCAGGGCTGCTAAGCCAGGGCTGGGGGCCCCAGAGGAGGATTCAAACTCAGAGGGAAAAAGGGCAATTCTCCTGAACAACCTGGGACCCGGATGCTGCCTGAAATCAGACTACCTTGTGACACTGTGGTCACTGACATGAGGCGAGCCCCTCTTTCTGCCTTTAAGTCAGTCTGTTTCCTTCACAGCCCTGAGGCCAGGCTGCAACTGCAGAGGGCCAGGGCCTGGCACAAAGGCAGCGTGGGGAGAAGGCTTACCTGGCCAACAGTAGGTAGCGACTGAGGACACGGAGAAGGGCACGTGTGCCCCCGCGGTGGAAGTGCAGGGCAGGCAGGGAGCCTCCGGCCTGGGTCACCAGCACCAGGTAGGCCCAGCTGAGGCCTGGCTTGGACCGGCGGATGGACTTGAGCTCCCCCAAACTCACCGAGAAGGCCCAGGAGTCCCGGGGGGAGCTGGGCGCTGCGCCTGCAGGGACAGCACAGAGTTAGGAGCAGACACTGGGAACCAGTGCCATCTCCCAGGAGCCGCATCACGAGCCAGACGTAGGCCCTGCCCTGGGGGAGCTGTGGGTTCCCTCATATTTGCTCAGAAACACAACTGCTCCAAGATCTCCCCAGGCTCCCCCTGGCCCTGTGAATGAACACTATTCCTCAACCTGGCACAACAGGGCCCTCTGGTCTGTCCCCTGCCCCCTGCCCATCTCCCTCCAACCTTCTCTTTACTCCAGACCCCACACTTAAATCACAGCCACAGGCCTGTGGTTTCCTAAGCGCTGTGGCGCCCCAGGCCTGGCCCTGAATGCTGCTCTCTGCAGGACAGAAGGCTCCCAATCACCTCCAGGGCCAACTACACCTTCCTGGAAGGCTCCTCCACCTGCCCGGGCGCCTGGACACCTCCACTGCTCCCAGCACCCTGTGCGACTCCAGGACAGCCCAAATCACCCGGCCACCCTGCAGCCATCATTCCCACAGCACGGAAACTTCAGGAGCAGGACTCACACAGGGATGCCCAGAGCCAATGAAGGAGCCCAGCAGAACAGCAAGCTTGCACACGCTGGCCACCCTGGGCCCGGGCTAGGGACGGCGCTGCACCCTCCCACTCTCCGGGGACCGGAGGGCCATCCCAACTGTGGCAGCAAAGCCATGACCACTGAGGGAAAACGCGTCTCACCCACCCCCAGGGCCCCAGCCCAGCCTACCTCTGCTGGGCTCTGAGGGCCGGGGCTGAGGCCGCACAGTGCTGATGACGGCCCAGTCGGGTTCATAGCCAGGGTCAAAGGTGGGTTCCTCCTCAGAGGTGCAGGAGTCACCCCCACTGGCATCCTTGGGGGAAGAAAGGAAAAGAGTGAGGGATGGTGAATCCAGTTTCCAGATCTGAGCTGAGAGGCCACCATGGAAGGTAGCTCCACTGAACAAAGAGGGAAACTGAGGCACAAAGAGGGCACACAGTGCTTGCTCAGGGACATCCGGTACAGCCAGGGACTGGGGCTAGGCCAGGACTCCAAGCCAAATCCCTCAGCCCAGTGGCTCTACCCAAAGCACCAGGGCAGAGGAGCTGCACTCTACAGCCAGACTACCTGGGGCCACAGCACTTAAAGTAGCCCGTGGCTAGGGCAACTCATTCAAAACCACCATCAGCAACTACTCTGCTAGGTTAAAAGATAGCTAACAACAAGCGCTGGTGAACACACAGAGAAACTGGAACTTTGTACACGGCTGGGGGAATGGAAAACGGTGCAGCTGCTATAGAAAACAGTCTGGCAGCTCTTCAACTGCTTAAACATGAGCTCCCCCAAACTCACCGAGAAGGCCCAGGAGTCCCGGGGGGAGCTGGGCGCTGCGCCTGCAGGGACAGCACAGAGTTAGGAGCAGACACTGGGAACCAGTGCCATCTCCCAGGAGCCGCATCACGAGCCAGACGTAGGCCCTGCCCTGGGGGAGCTGTGGGTTCCCTCATATTTGCTCAGAAACACAACTGCTCCAAGATCTCCCCAGGCTCCCCCTGGCCCTGTGAATGAACACTATTCCTCAACCTGGCACAACAGGGCCCTCTGGTCTGTCCCCTGCCCCCTGCCGATCTCCCTCCAACCTTCTCTTTACTCCAGACCCCACACTTAAATCACAGCCACAGGCCTGTGGTTTCCTAAGCGCTGTGGCGCCCCAGGCCTGGCCCTGAATGCTGCTCTCTGCAGGACAGAAGGCTCCCAATCACCTCCAGGGCCAACTACACCTTCCTGGAAGGCTCCTCCACCTGCCCGGGCGCCTGGACACCTCCACTGCTCCCAGCACCCTGTGCGACTCCAGGACAGCCCAAATCACCCGGCCACCCTGCAGCCATCATTCCCACAGCACGGAAACTTCAGGAGCAGGACTCACACAGGGATGCCCAGAGCCAATGAAGGAGCCCAGCAGAACAGCAAGCTTGCACACGCTGGCCACCCTGGGCCCGGGCTAGGGACGGCGCTGCACCCTCCCACTCTCCGGGGACCGGAGGGCCATCCCAACTGTGGCAGCAAAGCCATGACCACTGAGGGAAAACGCGTCTCACCCACCCCCAGGGCCCCAGCCCAGCCTACCTCTGCTGGGCTCTGAGGGCCGGGGCTGAGGCCGCACAGTGCTGATGACGGCCCAGTCGGGTTCATAGCCAGGGTCAAAGGTGGGTTCCTCCTCAGAGGTGCAGGAGTCACCCCCACTGGCATCCTTGGGGGAAGAAAGGAAAAGAGTGAGGGATGGTGAATCCAGTTTCCAGATCTGAGCTGAGAGGCCACCATGGAAGGTAGCTCCACTGAACAAAGAGGGAAACTGAGGCACAAAGAGGGCACACAGTGCTTGCTCAGGGACATCCGGTACAGCCAGGGACTGGGGCTAGGCCAGGACTCCAAGCCAAATCCCTCAGCCCAGTGGCTCTACCCAAAGCACCAGGGCAGAGGAGCTGCACTCTACAGCCAGACTACCTGGGGCCACAGCACTTAAAGTAGCCCGTGGCTAGGGCAACTCATTCAAAACCACCATCAGCAACTACTCTGCTAGGTTAAAAGATAGCTAACAACAAGCGCTGGTGAACACACAGAGAAACTGGAACTTTGTACACGGCTGGGGGAATGGAAAACGGTGCAGCTGCTATAGAAAACAGTCTGGCAGCTCTTCAACTGCTTAAACATGCAGTTGCCAGATGGTCAAGCAATTCATCCCTCCGTACATACCCAAGAGAAATGAATACAGATGTCCCCGAAACTCACAAATGTTCAGAGCAACATTATTCATAATGGCCAAAAAGTGGAAACAACCCAACTGCCACCACACTTTGTCACAGGTATGGACATGTAAGAAAAAAACACATACACAGAGGGTTCAGTATTATCTGAACCACACCACACAATTTAAAATTTAAAAGTCTTTAAGTGAGGAAATCAGTGTGATTCACAGTGTTCACACATTTTTGCAACTCGGTGAAACATGTTGACTCTCCCCTTTCCCCTCCTGTGGCCTCTGAAACCACTAATCTTCTCTAGAGTTGCCTGTCTGGACATCTCCTGTAAGTGGAATCGTACAATACATGGTACTTTGTGACTGGTTTCTCTCACTTAGGGTGCCTCAGGGTTCATCCATGCTGTAGCATCTGTCAGCACTTAATTTCTTTTTATTGCTGAATAACACAGTAGCCCCTTGACCTCCACCTATACTCAACCAGGGGTATCTTCACAGACCCCAGTGGATGCCTGAAACCGCAGATAATACTGAACCCTTTGTGTATGCGTATGGCAGGTCAGTTCTGCAGGGTCAATCCTGTTTCTCTCGCACTACCAAACATTCTATAATCCTCCACCTCTCTGCATTTAATCCCTTGCTGTTTAAAATAACTGGAGTGTTTGGGTACTCCTCCAATGAAACCAGAAGGACCTAGACTGCAGGCCTACCCAACAGCCATTTCTGCTGCTGCTTCCAGGCTGACACAGGCTCCCACAACTGAAACCGAAATCTCCCAATATGCCTTTTCCCAGCCTTCCCTGCAGTTCTGAGTGGCCTAGGGACCCAATTCTGGCCAATGGGAGCTGAGAGGACATCTGTAAAGAGTTTGAGGAAGGGAAATTCCTGACAAAAAGGCATGTAGCAGATGAACACCCTATTCAGGCCAGCCTTTGGGTGCTATTGGGAGATAATATGGTGTTTGGAGCCAACCAGGGCCATGAAGGGAGTCACTGGGACACTTGTCCACGAGGGTGCTGAACCAACCTGGCAAAACCATCCCTGCCCTCAGTGTTTAGTGAGATGGAGAATTTGATGATTTCACTGATGTTTACACAATATTAATGAGAATTAATAGTGCTGGTTTGCAAATATGACAGTTAATATGGCAAGATCTTAGGTTATTGGACAAAACTGGCTGTGTGGAGTCATGCAACTAGTTCCGGACAAGGGGCCAGGAACAGACTGTTTCATTGCCAGGCCAAGACCTCTACCACTCTCTTTCCCTCTGCTATGAGGAATGTTGACTTTTAAGATGGTGACTTCTCTAGCAGCATGCTTCCTTGAATAATCATTTTGAGCAGAGCTCCTTAGCCAACCTGCAACACACATGTATAGTGAGCAAAAACAGTCAAAAAGGCTGGAGCCCTTCTGGACCACGAAGGAGCCTTGAGGATACCGCGTGTTGAGGATGGCACTACCAAGATGGAAGGACATGGGTTATGATAACACGTGAACCTCTTCTGCTAACTTTTGGGCTTTTTTTTAATAGGAGAGAGACGAACTATCTAGCTTGGGCCACCGATATTCCTATTTCTATTCCACACAGCTAAAAGCAACTCCCAACCAATGCAGAGAGTCTCTAGGAAATCTCGTGTTTTTCCTGATAAGACAGAGATGACTGGCATTCTGCTCCTCCCCTTCTACCTGACATTAAAGGAGATTCAGTGGCTGCAGCTGAAACAGCCATTTAAAGGCCACTAAGGCAAGCACAGGAGGGTCTCAGCGATCCAGGGTCTCATGTCACCAAGACTTGCAGCCCCAAACCTCTTGCCGTCTTCTGAGAGGACAGAAATAAGCTTGTTTGCATAACCTGTTGTCCCCGATTCTGTGCTCCTCGGAGCTGAATGTGTCCTAAACACCTATGTGCCAATCTTAGGTTATTGGACAAAACTGGCTGTGTGGAGTCATGCAACTAGTTCCGGACAAGGGGCCAGGAACAGACTGTTTCATTGCCAGGCCAAGACCTCTACCACTCTCTTTCCCTCTGCTATGAGGAATGTTGACTTTTAAGATGGTGACTTCTCTAGCAGCATGCTTCCTTGAATAATCATTTTGAGCAGAGCTCCTTAGCCAACCTGCAACACACATGTATAGTGAGCAAAAACAGTCAAAAAGGCTGGAGCCCTTCTGGACCATGAAGGAGCCTTGAGGATACCGCGTGTTGAGGATGGCACTACCAAGATGGAAGGACATGGGTTATGATAACACGTGAACCTCTTCTGCTAACTTTTGGGCTTTTTTTTAATAGGAGAGAGACGAACTATCTAGCTTGGGCCACCGATATTCCTATTTCTATTCCACACAGCTAAAAGCAACTCCCAACCAATGCAGAGAGTCTCTAGGAAATCTCGTGTTTTTCCTGATAAGACAGAGATGACTGGCATTCTGCTCCTCCCCTTCTACCTGACATTAAAGGAGATTCAGTGGCTGCAGCTGAAACAGCCATTTAAAGGCCACTAAGGCAAGCACAGGAGGGTCTCAGCGATCCAGGGTCTCATGTCACCAAGACTTGCAGCCCCAAACCTCTTGCCGTCTTCTGAGAGGACAGAAATAAGCTTGTTTGCATAACCTGTTGTCCCCGATTCTGTGCTCCTCGGAGCTGAATGTGTCCTAAACACCTATGTGCCCTTCCTGCTGAAGCCCATCTCAATGGGTTTCTGTTACTTGAAAATAAGAATGCAAAGAAGGCACCAACACTTTCAAGAAAAGCACTCAGACTGCCTCCAAGGTTGGTGAAAAATAATGAATCCTGATTGCTTTTTTGCCAACCCTATGAAGCCAAATCCCTCGGGGGTGCTCCAGAATTTTCATCTGTAGCCCCCACTTCAGGTCATTCAAAGCCCCACCACCCCAGCTGAGGCTTCAAATCCTTTCTTCCTGGCCCATCACATCAACCTCCTCCTTGACCTCCCAGCCTCCAATCTCCCTCCATTTGGTCCTTCAGTCCATCCCTCATGTGTCCCTAAAGGGGCTTTCCATACCCACACCCTTCTCCTCCCATGGTTCCCCAAGGCTCCCAGAAAAAAACTCTAGGCTTCTCGGCCTGGCATTTCAGACCCAACCATTATTCCAGCAAGCCCCTTTTCAGAGACAGCCCACGTCCCCCTGTGCCCTGACACACTCCTCCCCCATCCCTGAAGTACCCTCTTGCCCACTTCTCCTTAGATTCCCAATCCAAACAACTGCTCCCCCAGGAATGGGTGGAGCTCTGCCATCAGTATCTGGGTTCAAATCCAAGTTCCAACACCACCTGCTTTTTTGACTTTGGGAAAAAAGCTTCCTCTCATTGTGCCTCAGTTTCTCAAAAACAAAATGAGGGTGGGGGCTTAGGTAGGGTCTGGGTCATTTTCATCTCTGGGTCCCAAAACTGTCTGGGACAGGGGCTGCCAATGAGAAACCTCAGGAAACATCTGGTAACGAGAAGGGTGAGGTCCTGTACCTGGGGATGGAGGGAGTACTGGTAAGTGAGCAAACAGCCTCATTCAGGTCCTGTTCCCTCTCTGGACATGACGTTAAGACTGCCCCAGAGAACACGACACACCCCTTCAGGTTCTTAAGGGCTGAGGGCCCATGGAACCCTAATCCTCAGGTTGAACTGCCTTCTTGTGCTCAGGCAAGACTCTTCCAAAGAGCAAAGGTGGGAAGGGGGCAGCTGTCCTCATGGCCACGAATCTCAGGGTGTCTGCTTTCTTTCCTTGAATGGGCATCTTCAACCCATTTCACAGAGAAAAGGGACCCAAGGAGCAGAGAGAACCTAGATCCCAACCAGGGTCAAATATGCCTCAAGGCTAGGTCAGGGAATGGGAATGTGCCCAGGTCCTTAAAGACTGCCTAGAGCTAGAAAAAAGCAGGTGCGGAATGGGTAAAGGAGGACAGCCTACCTTCTTGGAGAAGAGAATTTGGGTGGAATCTCCAGCCTCCTCTACAGGAGCCCAGTTCAGGAGGACGTCATTGTCCTGGGGGAAGGAGAGGAAGTATTAGGGGCGCTCTTTTCCAAACTCCCCAAACTATGCATCTGAACTTCTTCCCCAGCCTGGACCCTCAGCCTCACAAAGCCCACCTATCCATCCAACCAGCTGCCACTCTTCAGTCTTCCTAAAGGCCCACCGCTGACCTCCAGACCATACTCCTACAGATGCCGCCTTCATCTCGCTCTGGGCCTGCCCGAACCCTGCTCCCTCCCGACCCACCTTCTCCACCACACGGATAACGCCAGCGATGAGAGAGTCCGGGTCTTGGTGCTTCCTGGCACTGGTGTGCAGGTACACGCCTCCCTTCTCAAACACCACCTGTGGACAGCAACCAGTGAGGGGCGGGGCCCAAGCGCCAGCCTACACCGAAAGGGGCGTCTCCCAGGAGAGCCAATGGGTGCGGGCAGGGGAGGAGGCTATTCTCAGGGGGCGGGGCGCTGGGAGGCCATTGCTAAGGGGATGGGGTGAATGATGAGGCTGGAATACCAGCTAGGTGGCCGGAGACTGGGGACTGAGGGTTGGCGAGGGGACGAGAGCATTCCGAGGAGGGCGAGGTGCAAGAGCATCTCAGCTGCCCAGGGGGCGGGGCTAAGAAATGTGGGTCTTTCCTAGGGCAGTGGAGGGGACGGTGACAGCGCGTTTATAAGAGAATGGTGTGTTTGCTAAGGCTGTCAGGCCCACAGAGCCCCGGCACGGCCTGAGGAAGAAGCCGACCACCGGAGAGGGGCGTTTCACATGGACGGAAGCGAAAGAATTTGTCCTCAGTGCTTACCCTGTAACCGGCTCCCTCCATAGCTGCGGCCGAGGCCCCACTGCTTCGTCCCCCTTCTTTTCCGGGTCAAAGTGCGGTCACATCCGGATAGGAGACTCCCCTCAAACTGGACAATGGTTGCGCCCTTGCCTGTTCCAGAACAGGAGTGGGTGTAACCATCTTTTTCAGAATAGGGTGATGGCACTTGGACCACGAGGATTTAAGTCACACGGCGCAGACGCTAAAGGTTTAGCAAGCCAGCGAGAGTGCGCAGGCGCAGTGCTGCCGACTTTACCACGAAATAAACAAGGGGGTGGGTCCAAGAGCTCCACCCACTCGCTCAAGCCCTCTCCGGAACACCTACTTCTTTCTCCATATTGTGTACTGGCAAAGAAGCCTGGAAGATGCCATTTTGTTCGAGGGCAGAGCCAAAGCAGGTCACCTGCGGTCGTGTTAATGCGGAGTAGTCCCATCTCTTTGCGGGGCTTGACACTGTGATTCTGGAAAATAAATGGATAAAGGAAAAGAAGGTGAGAGGAGCTGTACATCATAAGAGACTCTGAGGGGCTCGGATTAACGGGATGACTCCATCAGTAGCCCTGTGAACGAAGCAGTCCCAGATGAATTTGTGATTCACGGTCTAGACAAGGCGGTCTGAGCTGCCAAGTTGAAGCTGGGCAAACCGAAGCAAAAAAAAGCCGTGTTGGATCTTTGCCAGGCCTGGTGCTGAAGGATAGCTGGAGAGCCCAAATACATTTTGGGCAGATGCTGCCAGGCTGGCTACCATATCATTAGTGGGCATTGCTTTCCTTTTTTGTGAAAGAGGTTGATTATGGGTAAAGGACGTCAGGTCGCTTGCCTGAGTGTACTGTGGTCCTTAGTACTTGTGCGGGCGGCCATATTTCTTGGGGACAAATCGAAGCGGTGTAGGCTTGTTTCTGAGCAAGCCAAAGCCTTTCACCATATTTCTTATGGGTATCCTGCTGTCACCATTGCCCAACTGCGATACAGCGAAGCACCTGTGGCCGCCATCTTGGTCTCGGGTGGCCCCGATTTGGGAGGTGGAATAGGAGGAGAGAAGGCCAACCATGCGGAAGTGACGCGCTGCGCCGCCATGTCTTTTGAGGGCGGTGACGGCGCCGAGCCGGCCATGCTGGCTACGGGCACGTGAGTGGAGGCGACGTTGTGAACCGCGGTGTGGGGAGGATTTGGCCGTCTGGGAGAGAGGGGCGCTGGGACGGAGAGCCGCCCGCGGGAGGGGTATGGCCTGGGTAGATCAGAGGGCAGAGATCCCCTAGCGACCTTACGCTGAGAGGTGGAAAGGAGTCGCCTGTGGGAATCGTCATGTCTGACCCGAGACAAAGCCTAGACAGCCCTACCCTCCGGTCTCCACCCACTAGGATGCTTAATTTGAGTGTGGACTATGTCCACAGGGTCAGGGGGTTGCTCTGGGGTACTCGGGGCGCCCCTCGCCCGTCCAAAGGCGGGACTTCCGGTTCTGGCCCCCACCTGGGCGGGATTTCCTGTTTTCTTCCTAGAGAAGTGGGTCTTCCCTGGACCCCAGGACGAGGTGGGGAGGCTACTGAGAGGTCGAGAAGGAGCCCGTTCACCCTTACTGTCTTCATTCCTCCTATCTTGGCGGTGGCGGGGGTTGGGGGTGGGGGCAATTCCAATTTGACAGGTGGTTGGAGGGGGACTTGATTAGCAACCCTCATTCCTTGAGGGACTTTTCGTTTTCTCTCTCCTCTCCTAGACTCAGTTTCCTCCCTTTACCTCCTCACCTCAGGCTAAGGCTAATCGCTGTACTTCTCCTCTCCCCATTCTGTGGGGGACAAGCCTCACTTCCTTTCCTCCCAAATCGTGAACTCCACCATTTTGGGAGTGGGAAGGGTCTGTCTCTCCATCCCTCAGCTCCTTAGGGGAAACAGGACTTCTTCCAGAAGCTGAAGGAGCAGAGACTCTGAGGTCTTAGCTACTTTCCTTTTGGGTAACTGTCTCCAAGGGACACCACCTCCTCCCCTGACCCAGGTCTTGGCAAAGAGGTCTGCATGAATCACTCTCCTCCTTTTGGCCCATGCCTCCTCTTTGGGGTCGTGGGGGGGGGTACCCTCTGGGGGACCCTCCCATCCACTCCCATAGCACAGTTTTCAACCTCATGGCTATTGTAAGATCTAGGACAGAGAGGAGTTTAATTCTGAGGTCCCAAGGAATTGATAGCCTCAGGCCTAGTCTTGCCAGGTGGTGTGACCTTGGACCAGTCATTTCCTGCCCTAAGCCTCGGTTTCCTCTTTCAGGAGATAGGGATGACCCGGGAGTGTCCTTGAGAACCTGAGCACCTCCCAGTTCTGTTGGGTGTTGGAGTTAGGCAGACAGTAATTTCAGCCCTGCCCCTGCCCATCTAGCCATGTGCCTTGGCCAGTCTGTAGGCTCTCATCCCAGCCTGTAATGTGGAACCTTCAGGATAAACTTGCTGTGGGGTCTGTCAGGAATGGTGCTGGGCATGCTCTTGCTGTGTGGCTTCCAGGAAGGGCTTTGTACTCTGTGAGCCTTAGCTGTCTTGTTTGTGCAGTAACCGCTCCCACCTTGATGGGTCAAGGAGGAGGTGAAATGACCGGCGTAGAGTCCCTGCATGGAGAAGGGGCTCAGCAAACGCTGGCTTCTGTAGTCATGAATCACAAAGGGCCTGCAGATTGAAATTAAGCTGCTATGACCCTAGTGGGCTGGATCACAACCCTGCTTGAACCCCAGTGATGGGGTGCCCAGTGTCCCAGCAGCCCTGGCTCAACCACTGCGGTTTACAGGTGGGGCAAAAGTGAAGCACAGAGGGGCCCACTGAGTGGGCCAACATCACACAGCAGATTTGAGACAGGGCAGGAAACCAGCTCCCTTGCACCTTGGTCTTTTCACCTCCTAAAGAAATGTATCCAGCAAATTGTTGGCTTAGGGCAGACCTGTCCTGGGGCACAGATTCCTGACCCCAGGGAGCTCATGGTCTGATGGAGGAGGCAGACAGGTACAGCTGTCACAAGTTCAAGTGACATGAGCTATACTGGAGTGAGCCCAGGGCACTGTGGGTGCAGGGAAGGCCCCTGTTTTGTCCTGGGGATCAGGGAAGACTTACAGAGGAGCGGCTGAGACAGTGTTGTAGGAAGTTCAGAAGCTTCATGGGTGGAGCCCAGGCACAGAGAGCAGCTTGCATGTCATTTTCTTCTCAGTCTCTGCTCACGTGTGCCAGACAGGGTTTATGGCTCAAGAGATGAATCTGACAGGCCTGCCCCTGGGGGGCCTCCCACACTGGCTGGGGAGATGGCTGTGGATTCAGACAGAACTCCTCAGAGAGATAAGTGCTAGAATGGGGGTCACTCAGACATCACGGGAACCCAAACTGGGGGACTGCCCTGATCTAGCGGTGAGGGAAAGCTCTTTCCATGATAGGGGGAGTGAGAGAGTCACAAGTAAGGGGGACACATGATCCAGGTATGGGGACCACCTTTACCAAAGGCTTCAAGTCTCAGAAGTCTGGAAGGCTGTGAGGTGGGGTCAGGGCCACACCGGGCAGGCCCTCCGTGCCAGGCGAGGCTGTGACCTTGTCCTAGGGGGCTGGGGAGAGGCGGCATCAGCTCAAGGGGCAGAGTGCTGACCCAACTCTAGTCTGGGAGGCTCCAGAGGAGGCAGGAATGATGGTCCAGTTCAGCACTGTCCCACAGAAATAGCAGCCACACGTTTAATTTCAAGTTTTCTATAAGCCACATTAAAAAGTAAAAAAGACAAGATGAAATTAATTTTCACCATGTATTTTATTCAGCCAGTATGTCTAAACTGTCATTATTTCAACACATAATCAACATCAGATTGCTGTATTTCACATCCTACTTTTTTGTACTAAGTCTTCAAAATCCAACAGTGCCAAGAGGAGAGACCAGGGCTCTGAGGACAGGGCGGGGCTGGGGGTTGAGGATGGCGCCCGGAGGTCTGGTGGGGAGGAATTCCCCTGGGGGTGTAGCAGTTTTGGGGAAAGACACTGAGCTCAGCTGGGACCAGGTGGATGGGATGGATGGGAGTGGCGTCCAGGGACAGGTGGACACATGGGGCTGGGTGGGGATAGCACACACAGTCAGCCATCCCCAGCCTCTCTGTCCTGCTCTGCCTCACAGGGCGCGGATGGCGTCAGGGCACCCCGAGGAGCTGTGGGAGGCTGTGGTGGGGGCTGCCGAGCGCTTCCGGGCCCGGACGGGCACGGAGCTGGTGCTGCTGACCGCCGCGCCCCCACCACCACCCCGCCCGGGCCCTTGCGCCTATGCAGCCCACGGCCGTGGAGCCCTGGCCGAGGCTGCCCGCCGCTGCCTCCATGACATCGCCCTGGCCCACAGGGCTGTGGCTGCCACCCGGCCCCCTGTGCCCCCACCAGCACCACAGCCGCCCAGCCCTGCACGGAGCCCACCCCAGCCTACCCTGGCCAGGGAGGAAGATGAGGAAGATGAGGAGCCAACAGAGACAGAGACTTCTGGAGAGCAGCTGGGCGCCAGTGATAACGGAGGTAGTGGGGGTCGGAGGCAGGGGCTGGGGTCGTGCTGTGGCTTGGCACATTGCCTCCTGGCAGATTTTCCTGGAGGGGTGAGACTTTCTTGCTCATGAGCCCTGATATTCTGTGGCAGCCGCAGTCTCAAAGAGCATGGGACCAGGCTGGTTTGCCTGTGACGCGTTGTGTGACCTTGAGCAAGTCATTTCCGCCTTCTCAGCCTTGGTTTCCTTTTGCTGTGTCCTGGGGCCAGCTCTGTGCTGGGAGGTGCTGGGCAAGACACAAAACCCAGCTCAGGTCCCTGTGGAGGCTGTGAGGTGTAGAGTCTTCCTGAGGCAGGAGCGTGACAGGAATTGTTTCCAAATCTGGGGTGCCTGTGAGATTGTGAGAACAGAGACAGGAGTTGGGAGTCAGGATATGAGCAATGGCTAAGGAAGCCAGGGAAATAGCAATTGGCTGTTGTAGAGGGACTCTGGAGATTGGATACTTCCAATAGACTCTACTGTAACATCAGGGCTTTGATGAGTGAGTAGGAGTTTGCAGGGGGGGTTGCTCAATAAATATGAGTTACTTGTTTATTGTTACTGCCAATAAGCGGCTTCCTCACTGTAGCTGGAGAAAACCCATGGAGGGTTAAGGGCAGACTCAGGAGCCAGGTGGCTTGGGTTCAAATCCTGGTGACACCATTGATTGGCTATGGGACTTAAGGCAAGTGGCTTAAGCTCTCTGTGCCTCCTGGTCGCATTTGTCCAACAGGGATCATTATCATTTCATATTTCTCTCTTCCTGTATTTTGAGTCAGTTCATCCCAAACAGATCTTACAGATTTCAGGGTCATCTGACCAGTTGCCTTCACCTGAGGGTGTAAAAAAGAGACAGAAACTGGATTTCTTCCTGCCGATGACCAAGCAGATAACCAGAGGAACAGTGTTCAAGGCTGAGGGAATGATAATTCCAGAAGCCTCAAGGCTTGCAAGGGCCCGGCCAGTGCAGGGAGCAGGGAGCAGGGAGGCGGTGCAGGAGCGGGGAGCTGACTGGCCTGGGCCTCTAATGCCATCCACAGGGCTCTTTGTGATGGACGAGGATGCCACACTCCAGGACCTGCCCCCTTTCTGCGAGTCAGACCCTGAGAGCACAGACGGTGAGTGATCCAGGCTGTCCCCGTCCCTGGGGGGAGCAGGGAGGCCTGAGACCAAGGCAGGGGCAGCGGCTGAAGTCCACCCTGTCTCCCAGATGGCAGCCTGAGTGAGGAGACCCCCGCCGGCCCCCCAGCCTACTCACTGCCTCCGGCCTCGGCCTTGCCCACGCAGCAGTACGCCAAGTCCCTACCTGTGTCTGTGCCTGTCTGGGCCTTCAAGGAGAAGAGGACAGAAGCACGGTCATCAGACGAGGAGAACGGGCCGGTGAGGGGCAAGTGGGAGGAGACGAGGAGGATGGTGGGAAGGCCCCCGGCGGGTTCTCAGGCTAGAGCCCTGCAGTTTTACTACTGCAGTCGCATGTGTCCGAGCGCCTTGTGGAGAACACCCACTCATTTCCTGGAACAACCCCATTTATAGAATACCTGCTGTGGGCGAGGCGCAAGTGTTCGGCGTCCCTTCCAGGTGGGGAGACAAGTTCAGAGGGGTCAGATCATCTTCCACCCCCACCCCACGTACTCCGTGCCTTCCAGGAATCTGTCCCACTCCCACCCCCTTGTCTTCTGTTCCTTGCACACGGTCCTACAGGAGGCGTTCCTGGGCTGGCCTGGGTGGGTCCTCATCACCCATCACTGAAGTTCCCTGAAGCAGAGGGGAAACTGAGGCTCTGAGCTTGCATGTGACTTCCCCAAGACTCAGCCTGTTAAGCGGCAGGGATGGGCTGGAATCCTTCCTTTTGGGAAGGAGCTATGGACTGCTCAGGAGGAGGCCGTGGCTTCGTGCGTCCCCCTCCCTCCGGTGCCTCAGTGTCCTCATTCACAGACTGGCGGGGGTCCCTCAGCTCTCACGGTCCTTGTTTGCCACAGATGGAAACAGTTCATTAACTGAAGGTTTAAGGCCTGAGCGCTGGGTCTCCGAACCAGCTCAGGTTATCTTCTGCCGTGGTCTCTCCTGTAGGATTGTGTGCAATGAACAGAAGACCTGGGCCAGACCCAGCTTGGGGCAGTGGCTCTCAGGGAGGCAGCACTAGCTGCTGGGGAGCAGGGGCTGCAGGCAGGATGCCAGGACCTCTCCTGGGTGGAGGTCCACACAGAGAGGGAGTCTTTCCATATGGCACTGGCAACGTGATCTTTCTTGAGCAATCACTGCCGAATGTCTCAAATCCTGTTATCAGCACCGTTTTTCAGAGGGGGAGGTTGAAGCCTAGGGACGTGAAATCCCTGTTGACAGGTAGTACGAGGCAGAGGCCTGGTTGGAACATAACTGAATCCTAAACCCAAGGCCTTCCACGTGAGACCCCCTGGGTGTGCACAGCCTTGATGGTCTGCACACAAGCAGAATGTCCACTGCCTGAGAAAGAACTAGAACGGTGGTGGACAGGCAGCCGTGCTTGCACTTAGGGTCACGCCAAGAAGGGGAGGATCGGGCGGGAAAGCTTCTTAGAAGAGGTGGTGTTTTGAGTCACTAAGAAGGGTCCTACATGGAGCAAGACAGGGTGAAGGGCTTTCCTGGCACTGGACATCCCGGGCAATAGTGCTGGGAGAGTTTGGGGGGTGGCTGGGGCCCAGGGTGCAGGCGCTAAACGCGGGGTTTGGGAAGGGTGCAGAGGTGGCCGCTGTGGGCGCTGATCGCGTCCCGGCCCCCGCAGCCCTCCTCCCCAGACCTGGACCGCATCGAGGCGAGCATGCGCGCGCTGGTACTGCGGGAGGCCGAGGACACCCAGGTCTTCGGGGACCTGCCGCGGCCAAGGCTCAACACCAGCGACTTCCAGAAGCTGAAGCGGAAATACTGAGGTCCTGGGAGGGAGCTTCCAGGCCCCGCGTCCGCCCTGCCGCACACTACACCCCAGCCCCGCCCCGGAGCCTGCCAATCCGAGTCAGATCCGGGACTGGCCTTCCCGGGACTGACCGGTCCCCGCCATACGCTGCACCCTTTCAGCCCTCCCCTCCCTATCCAGTTTCCTGAATGGGTCTGTCGCCACCTTCTCAACCCAGCAACAGATTCTATTAAGGGATTGGCCCGATGGGCGACGTGGGTAGTTCTAAGCCCTAAATGGGTCAACTCCGTCGTTTTCTGCTTAGTGACAAGGGCTCTGCTCGCGGGCATTGGCCCCATCCCTGGAAGACGGCCAAGCCCGAGGATTGGGCATTGGCACACTCCTTCCCCCCAGCGAAGTGGCAGCTCCTTCGTTTGATTGGGTCGACCCCCGAAGGGCTTGACCAATCCGCTGAGAGTCACTATCCGCCCTTCCTGGGCTCTCCCATCTGATTGGCTTCAGCCTTGGGGCGTGGCTGAACCCTCCGCCCAGGATCGGCCTGCGGCCTTAATTTACGTTCTTTTACACTACTGGGGCTGGGGTCGTTTTTGACCGAGTCCTGACAATTTGTCCTTCTGACCCCCTCCTCAGGGATGGTTCAGACCTGTCCCTGCGTCTGATGCCCTCTCATTGGTTCCATCCTACAACAGCCTGCCAATCGAAGCCCGTCCTTGCGTCCTGGACGGCACCAGCCTCCCACCCCTCTCCCCCCACCCCAACAGGTGCCTTAAAGGATCTTTGTCCACCCAAAGTTGTGGGGGGATAGAGGCCCTCGCTCTCCGGCCCTGGTGTGGGGGAGAGACTGGGGGATGGGGATCGGGAGTTGGGAGGGCTATCTGAGATTAAAGAGTTTTACCTCTGACAAATAAGTATGAGGCGTGTTGGGGGAGTTCGTTTAACATTTCTGAAGCCGAATAGCTCATTGTCACTGCAAAAACTGGGAGTTGCAATTATTGTCCCCATTTTACAGATAAAACGGAGATTCACCGGGTGGGAGGGAGGATTCCAGTCCTGTGTGGCCACGGAGGCCCAGTCTTCAGGGGTTTGAGTGTTGGACTCAAACAAAACAGTTTTTAAAAAAACCAGTCTCCTGACTCTCACAGAGTCCCCAGCAAGGCTAGGAACTTCCAGCCGAGACCGGGGGTTTTCTGCCTTAATATAAGAGATCTGGAGGTTAGAGAAGCAGTGGCACCTGGTGCGAGGGTAGGACTATGTCAGGTACATGGAATCTCCATCTCCTATCGGATCACTGCCAGAGGAATGCTCGTAATAGACCAGATTTAAACAGGGCAAACTGCCAGCCAAACATATTTTATAAGTTATTTACATACGTTAACTCCTTTAATCTTACAAGTAACCCCGCGAAGTGAAAACGGTTATCCCGACTAAATGAGAAAATTGCAGCATTGAGGGCCTGGGTGCTGTCAGGGGTCATCAGGTCAGGGTATCTTTAACTCACAATGATTACCAAGTGGACAAGAGAATTTCCTCCCGCTGTAACTAAGAGGATGAAAAGTAGAGTTCAACGTGGAAAGAGGAAAATGTGAACAGAACACCTCTCCCTACTGGTCTGAGCCTGTCACTGCAGCAGGAGAGATGAAGGTCAGATCTGCGGAGGGACCGTAAGGGCCCGCGATCCGGAAGGGTGGGGCTAATGTGGGAGGAGCCAAAGACTCGCCCCCTTCGGTAGGACGAGTCATTTCCGTCCGCTGAGGAACGAAGAAACCCGGCGGCGGAGTTGCGGGCATAGTGCCTTGGACAGGACTTCATTGGTCGGAAGTGGCAAGTGAGCCCGACCGGGAGGCACGGGTGAGCTTGGGGTCAAGTTGGGGGTGCACGCGAGGTTCTCGGCCTTTGCCCTGGGCCTTAGGGGTCTGAGCTCTCCCTAGGGCCTGAGCGGGGCGTCGTCGCCAGGGAAACGGCCCGAGGCCGGGGCCGGCCAGTGGGCGGGATTTCCGGAGACTAGCGGATTAAGGGAACTGTGGAGCGGTAGAGAGGAGGCGGGGCTTCCTGTAGCAGCTACTTCTCAAACCTATTCATCTACTTCCCTTAGGCCTGCGCCCGGGATGGCCGCGGTGGAGACCCACGGCCGCCTGTGGCTGGAGAGCCCACTTGGGGATGCGCCGCCCATCTTCCTGCCCTCGGACGGGCAGGCCCTGGTCCTGGGCCGGGGACCTTTGACCCAGGTTACCGACCGGAAGTGCTCCAGAAACCAAGGTGGGCGGGGCCTGAGCTAGAAGGGTTGTGGTGGTCCCGGATTGGGAACACAGCCTTTAGGGAAGATGGACAGCAATCCAGTTAAGGACATACTTGGCCACCAGGCGGAATTGCGTGGTGCAGCCAATCTTGACGTTGGTAGGTGCCCTCTAGGGAGCACAGGAAGAGACAGGCTGTGCCTGACCTGAAACTAGCCAGACTACGGGAGGAGATGGAGCCAGTCCCGAAGACAGTTGTCGCTGGGCAGAGCGTGCTCACCGTAAAGGCTTGAGTCAAGTCCTGACCCTTGTCAAAGAGACGCTCCTAAGGAGAAATGTGCATGTTGCTAAGCAGGGCTGGGTGCTAAGGGGCCACTCATGAAGAAGCCATTCTATACAGAAAAATGCCCTCCCTATCCCTTGGGGAGGATCAACGTCATAGTCAATCCTAAGGCCTTTATCTGGCTACTGCAAGGAGTTAACGAATCCTATTTAGAAATACTGTCCCCTCCTCCTGAATGGATGCTGTAGCCCTATCCTGTGGCCTGAGGCTGGCCATGTTCCCCAGTACTGAGGGAGGCAAATCACACAAGGATGCATTCTGATTCCACTCACTCAACCCTCAGTGGAGCTGGTCGCAGACGTGGGGAGTCGGACCGTCACCGTGAAACAGGTACCAGTTCCTCAGCAAGGGGCATCAGGGATCGCTGGGTTGGGTCAGGGAGGTGGAGGTATCGCAACCCAACAGGGAACAGGCCCATCGCAAAAAATCTGGCAGGGAGGAAAGAGGGCGTGGCTGGTAAAGTCGCTAAATTTTGCCAGCTTCCACGGGGTATCCGTCCACGTTTAAATTGTATAACGATGGACGCCTGTGACTTTTCCAAACCCCTGATTGATGGTACACAATCAAGAGGCAGGGTTTAAGGGTCTCATTGGCTGGTGGAGAAAGGCAAGTCCTTTCCCCGGTTATGTGATTGGGGGAGGTTACCGGTAGGGGCGGAACTAGTCTCCCGTTCCTCCCTCTTTCCTTGCAGCTGGGAGTTAACCCCTCAACTGCCGGAACCCAGCAGCTGAACCCGGGGTCAGAGGGCTCTCTAGGCGTGGGGGACACCCTGTATTTGGTCAACGGCCTCCACCCGCTGACCTTGCGCTGGAAAGAGGCCTGCACGCCAGAATCCCAGCCAGACACTCCACCGGGCAGCCCTCCGGTGGTCCCAGAAGAGGAGGATGTTGAGCCGCAGATAAAGCGGATGCGGAAGTCATCCCCTGGATGGGAGAGCTTCGAGAAGCTGCTGGTTTTCACATCACCTGGAGTGAAGCCCCGGGACAAGGTTAGGGCCAAGCTGAGGCGGAGGGATTCCCCCACAGACTGGGGACTCAACCCCAAGTTTTTGCTGTGTGCCACTGGGCAGGTCACTCAACCGCTTCCACTTAGTCTTCTGAGAAATGGACTTGCTGACAAATTCAGGTATTGTTGTAAGCGATGTGTGTGTCATCTGCCGGACCTACAGTAACCGCCTAGTAACCGTGGCAGTGACCGTGATCAGCTCAGCAGGAGCTATGAAAACGAGCACTTCTTAGGAACAGAGAGACTTGACTGAGTCGAAGTGCTTTTATACCAAGTTACCGAGCCTCAAATCTCTCACCAGTAAAATGATGAATTCGTGAAAAGCGGGTGGCACAGTCCCTGACGTGCCATTGGCATGCAAACAAAACCTAGCTCCTGTTTTTGTTTTCAGGGTTATTAGTATTCTGAGGCAGAGAAGCCCCGGAGAGGCGGGTAGGAAGGATATGAACTCCCTTTTAAAGACTGGAACACTGAGGGGCTGAGGAGGACCAAGAGCCCGCAGAGTCAAGAGCTCAGGCTGTGGTCTAGAGTGTCGGGGGTGTGGCCCTACTGTGGCTCGTCCTTGTGTAAGATGTGTAGGCACCCTGTGACTTGGTTTCCCCACCCGGAAGGAGCGGGCGGTCATAGTCCCTGCCTTTGCAGGATTGATGTGAACCAGCCATGAGTCGGGGGGATCAGAGGCGTAACAGTGCTACTGTTGCCCTTTTCTTGATGCCAGGTGGCCGGCTTTGATCTGGATGGGACCCTCATCACCACACGCTCTGGGAAGGTCTTTCCCACTGGCCCCAATGACTGGAGGTGATACGAGGCAGGAGAAGGGGTGAGTGGGGCCCCCTTCAGGCCCCAGGTCACCTTAATGCTTCCCCGCCCCTCCCCCCACAGGGTCTTGTACCTGGAGATTCCGCGGAAGCTACGAGAACTGGATGCCGAAGGCTACAAGGTGCGTGTGCGCAGTGGCCAGGGCGCGGGGCAGGCGGGGGCCCTGGTGAGGACACTAAGTGACATCCTTCTGCTCCTCAGCTGGTCATCTTCACCAACCAGATGGGGATTGGGCGTGGGAAGCTGCCCGTAGAGGAGTTCAAGGGCAAGGTGGAGGCTGTGGTGGAAAAGCTGGGGGTCCCACTTCAGGTATGGCTTTCGAGGGAGCCTGAAGGGTTATGCTGGGGGCAGGGGCCCGGAAAGAGGGCCTGAGAGCCATCTGGGGCTGTGCCGGGCAGAGATCCTGGGTGAGTGGGAGTCGGGGGGCCGGTAGAGTTCTGGCAAACCCACCCACAACAGGGATTTCTGGGGATGCTGGAAGCTCTCTTTGGATTGGTGAGGGTTGGGATAGCATCTTGGGCGCCCCTGTGCCCTTAAAGGACCCAGGTGATCGAGGAGGAGCCAGGGATGGAGTCAGACCACTGTCCTGCCCACAGGTGCTGGTGGCCACGAATGCAGGCTTGTACCGGAAGCCAGTGATTGGCATGTGGGACCATCTGCAGGAGCAGGTGAGCTGCAGCCTCTCGCTCAGGCCTCCACTTGCCCTCCTCTTCTGTCTCTGCAGCCCCACACTCTCTGCCTAGCCTGCCCACTCCAGGTCTCTGGTGTTTGGCCTCTTTAACTCATCTCCTGCCCTGGTCTTTATCTTCTCCATTTTTAGCAGTCATGTTCTAGTGTTGGTATACAAGGCCAATGCTCTTAAAATGAAAAACAGTGACTGAGAACTATCACCCAGTTCGTTCATTCGTGTGCATTTGTTCTGAAGTTCAACAGCTTCTTGAGCTAAAGATATTAGTGAAGAAGACAGACTTGCCAGCTCCCAGGACACTTGCATACCAGTGAGGGTGACCGACTATAACGTAGACTATTGTGTCAAATTGTGGGTGGGAAGCAAGGGTGCCCTTTTACCTACTGTGCTCAGGGAAGGCCTCGCTCAGATGCCATTTGAGTAAAGGTCTACAGCTGGTGAGGGAGGGGGTCCTGTGTGTATCTAGAAAGATATTCCCAGGTGGGACTAGCAGCAAGTGAAAAGGTCTTGAGGCCGGGTGTGTTTAGGTACAGTGAGGAAGTCCCTTTGGCTGGACCTGAGTGTGGGGACGGGGAGAGGGCAGGGCATGGGGTCAGAGAGCAAGGAGGGGTCAGGTTGTGTAAGGCCTTCTGCCCCCCCACCGCCCTGTGAGGATGTGGCTTCTTTTCTGTGGGAGGCATCCACCTGGGTTGGGAGGAGCCCTAAATGGGAACCAACGCCCTCTGGTGGTCATGCGGGGAACAGACGGGCGAGGGCGGAATCCAGACTAGCGAGGTATTTCAGTGGTCCAGGATGGAAGTGGCAGGAGAGGGGACCAAC